TAATATAGTTATACTAAAATATACCAATTACTGTTAAGTTCATTCTCGTGTGTTTCCATTACAAATCAAATGATCAATTCTTTTTTCAAAACAAAAAAAAATCGATAATGGATATTCCCATTACAATCATATAATCATTTCCTTTTTCAAGGTGGGCAAACATTTTGATCTGTTATATCAACTTGGCCGTAGTTAAAATCATCATAAAGTTTTTAGTGATGCTTGATAAATTCAAGACGTACAACAGATACGTGACTAATGGTTTTTCATGCTACAACAATAGCAAGACGTTTTTTATATTCCTTTTATTCTTTTCATTTTTATCTTTTCATTATTCATTCACTTTTGGTGGATTGTAAATATTTATCCACTTTTAGTAGGTTACAAGTATCTATCCACTTTTTGTGGGTAATCCACTTATGACGGATTATCCACTTCTGGTCGATTATCCATTTTTAATGGGATGGTGGGTTAAGGCATTCATCTACTTCTAATAGTAAAATTATCTTTAGAATTAAAATAGTGATAGTGTAAATTATTATGGCAATCATAATTATTAAATGATATTACATTCACTTCAAGAAATAGATGGATTCATAACTATGACTATAACTATTAAATGATGTCACATTCACTTCATAGAATGGATAGATTTATAATTTTTTATTAGTAACTCGTTTATCATATTCATTTTAGAGAATGAATATTTATAACTTTTCATTAATAGCTGTATAATAGCAAATTCACTTTCCAATTAAGAGAAAAAATAAAATATATATTATATAATAGCAAAACTCATATTAAGGTTGATTTTTAAGGAATAAAATATTAAAAAGATATCAAGTCACTTACCTGATTTGTTACAACTAGTAATTAAAAACCAACCACTAAAATCTTTTTGAAGCTTGAAGATGATGAAAAATAAAATAATTCCTAAACTTGAGAGATCAGAGCATCTTATTGATAATATATTATGAAATAAATCTTAAAAGAACAATTATAAGAGAAAGTATTTAGAGGGAAAAAAAGTATTTAGAGGGAGTAAGAAGATCTTATTCAAATATGCTTACAAAATGAAGTGAAAGAACTTATTTATAGGTTAATAAGCACTTATCTAGATTGAATTTCCAAGATGAAGATAATACTAAGAGTTTAGATAGATGGATTAAATCCTAATCTTCATTCAATTTAATTTACATGTAAATTTAGGTATACATAGTATAAATGGACATTCACAAAAATATTCATAACAAATAATTATTTTTATTCCTCAAACTATCTAATATAATTAGAGTCATTAAGGTTAGCCTATTGCTAATTAAGCTCAACAAATAAATTCTAAAGTAATATGTTAAGCCTATCAAATTTAACAAAAAAATAAAAGTGAGTCTAATAATAAAAAATATTAAGTTTTAATATAAATCTAAGCCTATCATAACATATTATATTTTAACAATCTAACTTAATAGCTTATCATAACATATTATATCTTAATAGTTCAACCCATCAACTTAATATATTAATTAGCAATTTAAGAGGCAAATAGAAAATAAGAGAAGAACTCGAACACACAAAGTAAAGAGACAATTTATTTGAGTTTGAAAAATTATTCTCTCTTCTACTCTTACGCACAGAAAGTGAAAGAGATAATTTTCATGGTTCCATTAGTCATATATATATATATATATAACACTGTGATTATTGTTAATATGCATTTGTTTTATGTCCAATATCTTGTGAATTTTATTTAATCTTTTATATGAATGATAATTAGATTATATATAAAATTCTCTATAATTGTTTAATATATCTTTCTATTGACCTCTCTTTTAAAAATGCTCTAACTTTGTTTCTGGATATATGCATAACCCTTTGTATTTCTTTTGCTAAATTCTTCATATTTCCTTTCAACCCTTGACCTCTCCTTTTACCCCTTGACTCTTGATGAGCCTTTCATATTTCTCTTCAGGCCGATAGCTCCTTCTTATTTTCTTTCAAGTCTAAACCCAAAACCTAAACCCCTTTCCAAATTCACTTCAATGGACACCCAAAAACCTTGAACAAAACCCAATCAACCTAGTCGACGTGGCAGACATTGGAAGCAAAAACATAACCTAACATATGAGTTCCTTTGAACCTTCTTTTTAATATAGATTATTATAAGTTTGGTATCCTACATATTTTGAAACACAAAGAAAAGAAAAATGAAGAATATTCATTTCCGGTTTCTCTTTTCATATTCTGTTTAAATAGTAACAAACCATTTCTTTTCTATATTACGTTTCAAAAGGTAAATCTTCATTTTCAAAGCGAAGTAAGGTGTAGAGACGACAATGGTTAATATGTAAACAGGTATTCAACATTATTTAATCTGTTTAAATAGGATTAATTAGGTATCTTATAGACGAGTTCAAACAAAATACAGGCGATGATATTTAGGATATTCGTTACTCTAACCCAATTATAGATAATAACATTTTTAATATTTATTTTAATTTTAATATAATAGTTTATACATTACTTATAATGTAGAAATTTTTTAACATGAAATTTATTTTGACTAATAAGATATATAAAAAATTTAGAATTTAATTTTTATTATTAAATTCTGGTCAAATCAGATTTTAAAACAGGCGTCCTCATCATTTTCAATTAAATCAAGGAATTCACATTTTAATCAAGTCCTAATAGAGTTGTAATCAAGTTTCAAAATTAAGGAGTGGTAGCAAAGTCTCAAAGCTTTGTGGTTGCATGTCCCCTGCATATAAAATATATGACATCGAAGAGGGAAGGAAGATGGGCTCGCAATTTTGTTGACCAACCTATCAAAGTTGCCTCCCATCCCATGAATTAAATAAGTGATTACAAAAGCAACTCTATATAGTTTTCTCCACACCAACCAACCATTACATATGCCTTTGAATTATTGCACTTTTTGTAGAATATCATTCAATAAATTTTCCAGCATTAACTGGGAGTTAGAAGAACATTACTTAATAATGAGTTAACTCTCAGTCATGGAGAAAAAACAAAGATAATTTTTAACAGATTTAGAGGTTTTACGCATATTTCCTTTGAGTTTTATTGATAATTTTTTTAATTTGATCTCTTATTGATAATTATATAAAAACATGAATGTTGGTAAAACTTTTGGTTAACATTGTTCCGCCAAAGGAAAAGAGGAAGGAAGGAAGGAAATAGGGTAAAAGGAAGGAAAATGATTCGATTTGTAATTTTTTATTAAGGCTAAATCTAATCTAATCTTTTAAAATTGGGAAGAAAACATTTTTTTAAATCAAATTAATCTTGTTGTTATTGACAATATGTATAAGAAAACAAGGGATGATCCTCCTCTTTGGCTTCATTTGGCCCACATGATTACATTTTTGTACATTAAATTAGATAGCATAATCATATCTCACAAATGGAAAGGATATCATGATTACCATAAAGTCCATTATTAATTATTGAAGAAAAAGTTAAATATTCCATACATAAATCGAGAAACAAAACACCCAACTAGAACATAAAGGTCAGGGGCAAGACTAACAACTAGTAGCAGAATATAGTTTGATGTTACGAGATAAGATCCAATTATGTGGAAGGGTGTGAAAAGAAGACTTCTTTTGGGAGTGGTGGTGGGCAAATTGTTGGGAGCTTTGTTTTCCAACACCCAAAACCATAAATAAATAATTTTAAAAAAAAAGGGGAAAACAACCAACGCAAAACAAAACCCATAATTATAATTTAAAGGTAAAGGTGGCCATGTCTTTCTTTCCTACTCTGTCTCCCTCTTTTCTTCCTCTTTTATCATTATGTAATCATTTTTTTTCCCTGAATTTTGTAGGGTTTGTTGGTTGTTCTTTAATGAGCCTCTGGCATTCCCTTGTGAGTAAATAAATAGGAGGAGAAGGGGATTACAAAAAGCTCCATTTTTTATTTGTCTTCCTTGATTCCTTGTCTCATTTCAGTTTCCAAATATTGTTTTGGAGGTAAACCCATGTTTTGTTTTGGTTGAATTTTATATTTTTGATGTATTTTCAATATGGGTTCATGAATTTGTATCTTTTATTTAATTTTAAGATCCATTTCTCGTTTGGGTTTTATTGGTTTTTGTTTAAAAAGGTTTTATCTTTGCTTAATTCAATGGACTGATATATTGTATATCTGTTTTACCTGTTCCCAGGATTTATTTACTTTGTTTTCCTTTTTTTTTTTTTGGAATTTAGATGAGTTCTAGATGGTTTTAACCATTTTGTATATATTTGAGATGAAAATATGGTTTTATTTTTCATTCAACAAATGTGTTTAAGTCAATCAATCAGGGCCTGGTTTGAATAGTTGGAGTCAGAAAAAAAAATCTGTATGCTTTTGTAATTTTTGTTTGATATATATGGAGAATGAGAAAAGAATGAACTGGAATAACTATGTAAGGCTGTCCTTTATTTGAAGTTATTTGAAACTTGGGAAATTTGTCTTTGTAAAACTTATGACTTAGTCTGATTAAATTTGCCTTAAGAAGACAAACAATATTTTGGCTAGTTTCGGTTATTCAACGATCTTATTTGGTAAGTGGCAAAGAAAGTGGTTTTGATCAGCAAGGAAATGAATCATTGTTGTTCCATAATTTTTGGGAAAAAAGTGTTTAGATAAGTGGAAATTGTTGGTATTGAGGCTTTGTTGAGTTGAGAGTTGTGATTTAGATGCGGAGGTCTAACAGTATTTTTTTGCTTTGCTCAATATAAAAATTATGAGGTGGTAAGAACTTCTTTATCTCTATTGATCTTAGGTTGCAGTTTACTTATGCATTTTAGGAAGTGAGATGTGCTTGGGTTTTCGCTCTGTTTTGTGCAGCCCATAAAGCTATGCAAAAAAAAGAAGGATTGATGATACATCAGGGACAAATTGGAATTTTAGTATGCGGTGTCTGTATTAAAATTTCTGGGGTTTTTGTTTCTTAAAGGTTCAGGGATGGAGGAGATACAGAAGCCTGATAGTCATATGACATCAGCTGCAGCTTTTGTGAAAGGGGGAATTCAAGATGCCTGTGATGATGCTTGTAGCATATGCCTTGAGGAGTTTTCTGAAAGCGATCCTTCAACAGTAATATCTAAATCACAGATTCATTTTTACTAACCCTTTTCTGCTAGATGAGGTTTTTTGCACTACTGTCCTTCATACCTATCGTGTGGAAGTACCTCAGTTTGAATTCTTTTTTATCTTTGCTTGCAGGTGACTAATTGCAAGCATGACTTTCACCTCCAGTGCATTCTTGAATGGTAAGTTTCGTGTTAACTCTCAAAATAACTATTTTTTCCACTCCACTCTATTAGATTTCATTGCCCATGATTACTGCGTTTATTTTTCTCACAAACCCTAACTGAAGGCTATGTTTTTGTCTGTTTCTATGATTCATTATGCACTTTCTATAACAAATTTGCCCTCCCCCCTACGTTGACTATCAGTAGATTGGCTAGACAGCAATATCCACGTTGGGTCTTGATAGAATGGTATGGGTGGGAGAGAGGAGAGGGAGAGTAAAAGGTTAAGGGGTCATCATGTAATGGGGAAAAGAAGGAAAAAAAATGACCTCTAGCAAAGCTAAACATGGACAAATTATTGCTTTAAGGAATCCAACTTCTTGTCATAAATCACATATACTCAGACAGATACATATATGACATAATTATATGGTCTGACCACATGATTGCATGATGCATTTGATTCTGATGTAACTATATGATGAATTTAATTTTGACATGAGGATATGATGTTTTTCATTCCTTGTGCAATGTTTTAGATACTATTTTGAGTTTGATTTCTTATCCTTTGATAATGATAATGGTGATTAAATTTTGTCTGGTTATGCGAACTGATAGTGCTAACTTGATATTCTCATCTATCCATTTTATTTATCAACTTTTTTTGCTCTACCGTCCTTGGTTTTTCTGTGCAACAATTGTAACCTGAACTTTGATTGATGAAGATGCTTTAGTTTCTTGTTTGATCTATCGGTTTTTTGTTCAACTTCTAGCAAATAATTGTTGATGTTGCTTTGCTTCTTGGATGTAATTAGAGTGTACATAGAGAGCTTTGAAGACTTCACGATGTTTCTTGTACAATGGAATGCTAAATTAGTACCTCTGTTTCTAACGAATCAAGCACCGGTAGAAAGTAGGTGATACCATTTTTCTGAGGAAAAAAGCATATACGGAAATTTATTTTTAGGATTTATTTTCCTAGTTAATTCACCTCTTGATAATTTAAGTTTATTTGGATTTTTGGAAGTATACACTCTTGCAAAGGAAGAGATCACCAAATAAGGCTTAAATCTAATACAAGTTTTTTGATTTGTAGGTGCCAGAGAAGCTCTCAATGTCCCATGTGCTGGCAAGCCATTAGCTTGAAGGACCCTGCAAGGTTTTTCATTTATATATATATATATATATATACATACATACATGTAAACATATTTTTACTTTGAAAATTTTCTCAGCATAATCTGTGGAATTAGCTAATAATGTGCATATGGTGACAGTCAAGAATTGCTTGAAGTGGTAGAAAGGGAAAGGAGCTTTAGGGTTGCTCCGTCAAGAAATACCACCATATTTCACCATCCCACGCTTGGTGATTTTGAATTGCAACATGTATGCTGTCTATAAGTGCTTTTAGAATCTTTATTTTACTATTGTTTGGCAATAAACTTGTTGCAGCATTCACCCATTAAACAGAACTTACACAATTTTTTCATTGTAATGCAGTTACCAGTTGGTGCAAATGACCCTGAACTTGAAGAGCGTATAATCCAGCACTTGGCTGCTGCTGCTGCAATGGGAAGGGTCCGCCATTCTGGTAGGAGGGATGGCCAGAGAAGATCATCTGCTCATAGCCGTCCTCATTTCTTGGTATTTTCTACTCATCCTGGTGCACAGCATTCTGGTTCTGTATCAACACCTTTGACTCAGATAGGAGGGGAAACTGAAGCAGCTGCAATCACCGTAGCTAGTCCTGCCACTCCACTATCATCTGGAGGAGAAGAGTTATCCCAGCAGATGTCACCATTTCCTTCTGGTCAAAATACACCTGCCTCTGGATCTACTGTCAGTCCATTGAGTAGACGAGGATTTTCGTTAAATAATCGGTATTTATGACTTCTTTTCTCATGTTTGTCATGCATGTGACTACATGTATCATCTAGAGTATTTATCATTTGTTTGTAGAAGCACTTCTAGTCATTTTCTAAGAGTACATGTATCATCTAGTTGATAAATTTTTCTTTGTCTATGGAAGCACTTCTAGTAATTCCTCATTGCCAAATCAAGAGAGAGCAGGACCATCAGAGTTTCAGTCATTTTCAGAATCTCTGAAATCCAGATTTAATGCTGTGTCCTTGAGGTATGGTGGACAAATCCTTCTTATAGCAACTCTTTAGAGGTGTAAAACTAGATAATGCATATTTTTCCTCATATGTTACTAATAACACTTCTTGAATTAAAGATATAAGGAGTCAATTTCAAAGAGTACAAGAGGCTGGAAGGAGAGGTGGTTCTCTCGTAACTCTTCCATGTCTGATCTTGGGAATGAAGTTCGGAGAGAAGTGAGTGCAGGAATTGCTAGTGTATCTCGTATGATGGAGCGTTTAGAAACCAGGGAAAATGATAGTCCAAATGAAGCTTCTGTGTCAAATCATTTGGCTGAATCTTCTATTACAGAGCAAGACAACCAGCATAATGCAGGGAATCACGGAGATAACCCTCTAAGTATCAGCCCTACGCCAGCTTCGCATGCTGCAAGTTCTCTTTCTATTTAAGTTATATAAAATTATTTCAGCAAATTGCATCTATCCTCAGCATTTCATCTTTGTAGGTGAGTCATCATGTTGCTTTGTATTTATTTTTAGATAATATTCAGGCATTAGAACCCCATAAATAGAAAATATTGAATTTGCTTCTACCATCGCTCTTACTGTCCAGTGGCTGCCTGTATTAAATCTTATAATGATTCTTCCACCTGTTTGATGTGAGTAGAGAGTTTGCTGCATAGGCCTATCTTGTAGCATGATATTCTGGCACCCAGCAATCTTGTTAGTGATCACAGCTGAAAACATGGTACCTTCCCATGTTGGTTTGTTGGCTGAAATTTTAAGGAAAAATCCACTTTGTTGTAGATAGATCTCCAGTCTTTCAGCGGATTTATCTCTGTTGTGTTTTACCATAATCTTTGCAGAATATTCAACAGTTTAGTTTGGGTTTTCAGGTTGCCAATCTTGTTTCTCCAGAAATGACATGCTGAGGAAAAGATGCTTTGCATTTCAGGCCAGGTGATTGGTATTTGCAAACAGACAGAGTCATGGTGAGTGGTCTGAATCTGAATAAACAGAGGAAGTCTGACAGAGCTTCCATCTGGATAGAGACTTTTATATGGGTATATGTGTGTAAATTTGTTAATATGTAACCTGATTTAGTGCACGATATCTGTATGTAACTGTCTGGATGGCTGATTTGGCAATGGCTGAATGTTAATTACTCTTGAGGAAGGAGCTGGTGAGGCTGGATGGAATTTGAAACATGCTTAGAACGTATTGCAATTTGCTGAAAAATGTGTCTTTCCATGTGGCTATTGACACCAACTGAACTTTGGGAATCAGTGAAACAAAATTAGTGAAGATCTTGGCCCTGTCTAGGCTTTCCTTTAGCATAATTCCCCCTGCCAATGTCCATAGGGACAACAGAGCTATGTGTGACTGGAGTTTCCACAAACTCATGTGAAACTCATTTTGTCTAAGTTAGGAGTGGAGATCTTCTTCTCCAAGAGTCTCTGTGTCTGATGAACAAATTTGAACCTTGCCAGGATTTGTATCTTTCCCAAAAATGATGAAACCGATTTTCTTATGTGCAAATACTTTGTTGGACTTGTATTTTCTTCTGTTACCCTTTTAATGTTAGCAACCAACTTAGCCCATAGAAGCAGGACATAACAAGAACTAAAATAGAAGCGGGCTCATCATTCAGGTGCCTATGTCAGTACAGCAAGTCGAAGTCCTTGTCTATATCTCTCTCACTCATGTGCACGACCTTTAGGCTGTCCGAAAACTAGCCACCCAAATCAAAGTGAAGCTTTTAGAAGCTGAGTTTTGAAGCTTGTATGGATGTGGGTTCTTGAGTTCATCAGCTAACTGAGGTAGGAATATCGTAATGAGAGCACTTTCCTTCCTCTTCTTTTCCCTTTCTTTTGGCTTTGATTGCTCCACTATCTCCAAATCTCCGGGATCGGTTAATCGGATATTTTGAAAGACGATGTCATATTTAGATTCCAACACTTCCTTCGGTGCCGACGACTTGCATGAATTTCAGGCGAATCAGCCATGAAAGTAACTCCCTTCTCCCTCTCAATGTGGTTTATGTTTCTTGTTCAATCCGGATTAAATTTAATCAATATTTCTCTAATTATTTTGATAATGGTCTGTCTCCTTTGATAATCGTTAGTAAATCTTTGAACTTAATCATGAAATTCAACTGAATGTATTCGTGATTAAGTTGTCAATTAAGTTGATATAATTCTCAATGACTATTTCAGCAACTAGCGTTTGCAATTGTCGATTCTCACATATTTCTGGTTGTTTTTCCTATACAAGAATGGTAAAATAGGTACAAAATTTATGTCACGTTATTAAATACACGAAAACATTAATAATGTATTAATGTCAACACTTATATATCTAACGATATATATAATTTAATAGTGAAGTGATCATTTCCAATAATGAATCAATAGTGAATTATAGTCAAAAGGTATGGATAGGACTATTTTCCCTTAAAAAAAATTATTTACAATAGAAAGAAAAGCATACTTACCAATATATCGTAGTTGAGCAGAAGGGAAATTTATACGTGGGATCATTATAATTATATCAATAATAGTTATTAGTCCTTTATTCATTTTAAACAAATATATATTTTCACTTTATTAAAAGAAAAAAACCATGATCAAGGACTTGAAAACTGTTTATATAATAATGCTGGATCTTATTTCATTTATTAATTACAGGAATATGGCAAAGATAAAAATAAAATAAAATGATGCAAGAGAAGTGTAAGAAAGAGGAAAGGAAAGAGACATTCACACTTGCAATGATACATTACATGAATTTTTAATTCTCATAAATGCTAATTGTAAAATTATATATTTTATTAAATAATATTCTAAAACCTTGTCTAGCCAGTGACAAAAAGTTAAAAACTGTTTGAAAATTAATAGAAATATTATAATGAGCAGACTTAAAAGATGACAATGTTATGCTAATATGAAAATCAATTCAAGGTCTGTGGAGGAAAGGAAATTAAAACCCAATTTATTTGTAACCTTATTTAATTTAAAGACTACAATTTCAAATTGGTTGCAAGGTAACAATTTAAAAACCATGCCAAAATGAAAGAGAACAGCAGAAAAAATAAGTTCAAATTTTGCCATAAATTGCTTGTGAACCAATGTTCTAACTATCAATGCTAAACTTTTATGAAACCTCAATCAAGATTGTGAATTCCAAAATCATAACAAATATGCGAAAACATAGTCTAATTAATTTTTATTATATTAATTCTAATAAATAACTCTAAGCCTAACAATATAGACATGTCACTACATAAACAAATATACAGATTGTTAATATAAGTCCTACAAGTTAATCGATTTTGTGCTTGTAAAATACTGTATTTATTAATCATATTTCATATTAAATATATTATGAATATTTATTTAATATATGAGGTATTTCTTTATACATGAGTTTATTTATAAAGAGTTATGAGAAATTTAGATAGATAAAGTTCTTGGAACATAATGGTCTTGCCAAAAAATTATAAAGGTTATAATTATAAGATTCTGATGCATCAGAACCTTAGTCCTAAATTTGTTCATGGTCATGGTATTGTCAAGAAAAAGAATATTAATAATGCTCAAAGGCTAGTACATGCTAAGCCTCCTCACTTTGGAAGTAAACAACTAATCTTATAAGTTGAAGTATTCGAGATACTTGGGGATAATATGTAAGTGCTTGTTAATGAGCAAGTTCATTGAACATGACCAGCTATGAGAGTTCCAATTGGTATTTTACTCAAGTGTCTATAGAAATACTATCATGTGTTAGTAGTGTAAGAAATCCTTAGATTGTGATTTTAAGTCATCTTGTATGTGAATTGTCATGCTTTGATTTTACTTCTACGGGTCTGGAGACAACCAGATGCCTAAATATGGTGTTTTTGAGTATGGCATGAAGCATACGAAGATGAATGAATAGTCTAGGAAAGATTCATCATCCCAAGTGATTTGAAGGGGGCATATCTCATTTGTTCCTAACTTATATTGACTAAAAGTTATTGGCCAAGGCAATCTTGATAGGTCAACATGAAAGCTGTAAGACTAATATGGATAAGTTAGAAAATAGACACCGAGCAAGGTTTTCTATCTATCTAATATATATGATGAAAGGATTGGATTACACTCAGATACTATACATTGAAAGGTTAGTCAAACCATACTAACTCTCTTAACATTTGGATGGTCATGATGTCCTCATGATCTATAAATATAAATATAAATTCTTAGTTGAATTAATTTATATTTATTACCAACATGTTAGGTATCTAATGGATCACATACATAAAGTGAATTATCCAAATTAATTTGAGTTCAATTGGATGTGATCTAATTGATTTTATAAAGGCTTAATCCAATTAGATATTGGGCTAAATCAAATATGATTTGATGGAGTATTAAATAAAGCCCAATTAGCCCTAAACAATTTTTAATCCTTGTTGGATATGAAGTAGGTCAATTTATTTTATAAAAAAATTCTTTAGCCTCTTATTGAATGTATAGAAGAGTCCTACTTTATTTTCTCATGAGTTGAAATAGGATCACAGCCTAAAAAAGGATCACACAAGGGAGCTTAAAGTTGAGAGTTTGCTAGCACAAACTTTGGCTTAGTGATTCACATATTCTTAGTGAATAGATTTTGACAAATCACAATATGAATCACCATTAGAGGTAGGGCAATAGGGCTACTATGGTTTGATAAGTCTTAGTTAGTGTACAAAAGTTAAAAATGAAAAGCCAAGGTAGACTTTACCAAAGAAAGCAGATATTAACCTTATAGGTATATCGAAATCTTTCTCTTATGATTTTTCTATATTAATTTCAATTAAAGTGATCCATGGCTCAAGAGATTAAAATTTTAATAATATTCCACTTTGTATGATCACCATAGCATGATTTAAATCCCCTTCAGTGGTATCAGAGTCTCTTTTAATTGATTTAATCTAGTTTTATGTTTAGTTATTAAAGATTACAAAAACTATATTTGTTTATATGTCGATATGATGAAAAGTTTGAAGGATTTTAGACTACTTTTTTCTCTTTTCGGGGTTTCTTGCTTCATCACAAGCATTTTTTTTGTTTTAATTGGCTCTTGATTGCAATATTTAGAGTAAGGTATGTAACTCTTAAACTTATGAATGTTCATAATTAATTTTAAAATTACATAAAAAGCATAAATATTGATTTTGTAGGATTCGACTGTTTCTTTGATTAAATGCTAGTTTATTATTTTGCTACGTTATATTTTTAATTTCTTGATTATTTTCATATTTGAGCATGAGGTCGAATTTCAAGACTAGAAACATCATTTCGATTTCATACCTAGCTAAGAATGTTGATTTCAAATTTAGTATAAAGGGCTATTATTGCACTGTTATTTTAAATGATATCTTTCATGGATCCAGAACATGTCATAGAGAACTTTATGTTATGGATCTTGATAGCCCAATACTCAATATAGATGTCAAGAAAGCTAGAAAGGATAATCCTATACATTTGGCATTGTAAACTTGGTCATATCAATGAGACAAGGATAGCCAAGTTACATAAACAAGGTTATCTAGATCCATTGGATTATAAATCATATGGAACTTGTGAATGTTGTCCCCTTTGGTAAGATGACTAAGACTTCCTTTACTGGAAAGGGTGAAAGAGCAGGTGTGCTCTTATGGCTAATACATTCAAATGTATGTGGACCCTTAAACACACCAGCCAGAGGAGGTCAATCTTATTTCAGTACGTTTACATGTAATCATTTTAGATTTAGGTATGTGTACCTACTAAAGGACAAGTCTGAAGCTTTTGAAAAGTTCCAAGAGCTTAAGGTTGAGGTTGATAAACAAGCTAGGAAGAGTATTCTTACTCTTAAATTAGATTAAGCAGGAGAATATCTTAGCCAGGAGTTTTGAATTATCTAACGAAATATAGGATTCCATCACAATGGACTCCACCTAGAACTCCACAACATAATAGAGTATCTGAGAGAAGAAATCGAACCCTATTTGACATGGTTCATTCCATGATGAGTAAGGCAGGCCTTTCGATGTCCTCTTAGGGATATGCCCTAAAGACCGCTGCTTACCTTTTTAACAAGGTTCTAACCAAATTGGTTGATAAGACATCATATGAGATGAGGTATGGCAAAAGACCAAATTTATCTAATATAAGGATTTGGGGATGTACAGCTTATATGAAACATACATCGTTTGATAAGCTTGGAGTTAGATCAGACTAATGCAAGTTTGTAAGGTATCTTAAACAAATTGTAGGATACTATTTTTACAATCCCAC